GACAAAGTGAAACATACCAAAGTTAAACTTGTTACAAAGTGAAACCCTTAAATAAAGAAATACTCATTTTGCTTGGTTATTTTAGCCGTGTACTAAAAAGCTGATCAAAACAGTCTTAACAGGAGTAATCACTGAAGAATCCTTCAGGCACAAGACTCTTCAGCAAGTAAGGTCTTGTTTATGTGGAGAAAAAGTATTCCTGACTAGAGAGTCACCGTGCTTGTACCACGTTACGCCGAATGGGAGATCTTTAATTTTCCTACATGTCTTTATAAATAGCATCGAACTGTTTAAATCAGAAATGACAAAGTTGGCCTAAGGACCAGACTGATCACGGGTGGATGCTCATTCACTTTGAAGTAAGCCGCAACTTTGCCGAGAGGGGACTGGAAGTACCAATGATCAACTAGCCTTCTTGGGCCAAGTCGCGGCACATATATATGTATAGCATTCACAAAACTGAACTAAAGTTTTCTGTATTAATTCTCTCCCTGTATACCCAACTAATACAAACTTTATTTTTACGATAACTGTAGAAATTCTCGCCCGCTCATTGGTTAATTTTCATTGTCAATAAGCCGACAGACGTATGAATTTATAATTTATGCAATGCGTCAACGAGCGAGTGCGGACAATTTGACATTGTAAAAAACAAACTGACGTCAGTTTTTGAAGCGTCCGTCCTCTTATTGACAATGCATTTCGTCCTAACACTTCTAAAGTAGTCTGCGGATCCACTCGGCTACCGTAGTTACCGCCTCGTGGATCCACAGCTACTTTGACAATGTTATGACGAAATTTATGATCAACAACAGGACAGACGCATGAAAAACTGATGACATTTTGTCAAATTTTTTTAACGATTTGTGAAGGCTCCAGTGTCATCGTATCCCACTGTTTTCTATTTTCTTGTGTTCATATTTCGTAAGTGTTGCCTACATCTAACATTTTTGCGCCGCAACAATTTCAATTGCCGCGCTAGAAGACGACGACAGGAAGTAATGGCCATACTTCTCTTGTTCCGTATAAATAAGGTATAAAACAAACAAACAAACTCTAGAAATTTTATTCGTTACATTTTATTCTGATGCGGGAGTTATCACATCAAAAATTTCAAATCAAAGTCTTCCTGAGTCTTTCGGTGAATAAATTAGATGACTTGGCACTATCTCGGTACAAGTAGGCTGCTGTTCTTCTTGCAGGGACATGTGACTAGTCACATACACGTTTTGCGTCAAAAGTTATCAAGGACCATGGCTGGAAAAACCTTGCCACCGCCACAAAGAAGACCGTGCGTCACACAATACAAGGGTACAAATGCACTACGAAAAGAAAAAGAGACATTGCTTTTGTTTAATCGTTCAATTTACACACAGGAAACCGGATGAAGATAGACTATTGCTGCTCCTTATCCTGCGTATGCTGTATGTCTTCGTTACTCTTTTCCACGGTGAAAAAGAACAACAAACATATTACATATACCCTAGATATTCTTCGATATTTTCAGGTGAGAATACAAGTCACTTGTAATAACGTTTGAGGGAAAGAGAGCTTATCATAGAACGGGGCTTAATTAGAACAGACAATACATCTTCAGAAAAAAAACTTCTGGCAGGGGTAAATCTCTAAAACAAAACCTATAGTTTACAAAAGGTTACATATAAAAGAGACAAACATCTAAGGGGCAGTTCTGGCTAAGGGCTGATTATTAAAATTTCACTTTCCTAATTTTAATATGATATTACTATAAATAAATTAGATAAAAAGAATTCTATACAGCAAAATAGAACAAGTACTTTTGGGGAAAAGTACGGATTACAAGGACAGAAGTTAATTATAGTTATCAAAATTTGATTTTGTAATAGAATGTCAAGAAATCAAAATCGACATTTCCACTGGCGAAATTTTGAATTTTTCGTCACAATTTTCTTAGCTGGTATTTCTTTCACTTTCATCAATTTTTGGGTTTTCTCGGGCAAGATATGTTACTCTCACAGTGCCTCTCAGTCTCCACCCAGGTGCATTAATGGGTACTGGCAAATTGGACGCTGGAGGAAACTCCTACGATGAACTAGCACTCCATCCAGAGGGAGGTGAGGGGGGGTGGGGGTGGGAAGTAGAAATATTACTAGTCCCTTAATACTATGGAAGTCAACGATAAGAACCGGCCTGATGATGAACTAGGCCTGAACACAGACTTAACCTTTTACATTCGGCCGTACCTCGTCCTGATGATCATATAGTGTGTGACACAAAAGTTCTCAGTGATGTTATCATACACACAAACACATTTTTGCTTAGACTGATTTTAAATACATACCAAGCTCAAGTTCTTGGGTTTAACCTGACCTGTCTGATGGATCCATCTTCAGGCTCTAACAGGGGCAGCAGCTTTTCACCGCCGAGCTGTCTCACGTGCAGCTGAAGACTGAGCAGCTGAACCTCATGATGGAGTCTAACAAGCTCGTGAAGTTCCTGCACAAAAAAAGAAAACAAACAAGACAAGTAGTCTGTGCCAGTCGCCTTCTCAGTATCACTCTCAAATCAGCCTTAACAGACAAACTTCTCTTTGTGAGACATTATTATTTTTGTTCGCTAAAATCTCTTCTCCACAAAAAGTAGCGAGATAAGCTTACTTATTCGGTTTGAATAAAACAAGGTTTTGCCTTTCCTCAAATAACACACTGGCTATTAACGTTTTCAAAGCATCAGAAGAGGACGATTATTCGGGGAAAGAGAATTATTTTAGACATAGTTCACTCCAAGTCTTACAAAGTACATCTGAGATACGACGAACTCCTGCTATTGAGGAATATCTTAACGCAGGGAGAGGGCTGGTTTATTCAAAGACAGTAAACACAGCAGTGGTAACTTTGATGATTTTGATTTGACAAATCAAACACACACAGCACAGAAGATGTCGAGCGAGATAGGGAGGACGGATTATTGGAAGGACGAGACAATTTCAAAACAACATGTTGCCACTAAGCTCTTCAGTGGGCGGGTACTTGAGTGATTATTCCAGCCAAGGCAATTATTCGAGGAAATAGGGTATTTATTTACTTCCAACCTTACCTTGGCAGAGGAGTAAGTGAAATCTACAGTACCACATTGCTTGTTAAATTCCTGGAATAAATCACCTCTTGAGTGGCCTTCAATTTCATCGGGCAACCAGCGAGAAAGAAGGACACAACCTTTATGCATCAGTTAATTCCAGCAGTGCCCATCCCCCCCACCCCCCGCGGGCAACCGCGGGGCATTTGCTCCGTTGTCAGTCCCGGGGGTGGGGCATCTGCAATTTTATCGCGGTCCGGGGGCTGGGCATTTGCGTATCCCGGGGTGACCCCCGGGCATTTGACACACGTTTTTCAGTTCGAAAGTGCCATTGATGAGTTCATCGGGAAAGACGAGGCGTTTGTCGAATGATGACTTGTCCGTCAGGAACTAGAGAAACTTGTAGATGTTTTAAAGGTGTGTTTTCTCAATTTTAGGTATTTCTTCATTACTTGTAAGCATATAAATATAAGCGACAAGGTGAACTATATTTTGTTTATCACAAAAC